TTGGGATTGACAAAACAAATTACACTTTATCCGTTAAAATGATTTCCTATTTAGGTTAAAATAGTGCTAACCAAAAGATAGCAGGAGACAAGCTAGATTATTTAGGTTTTGAATGGTGAGCATGCCCAAAGTTTGTTGAGTGGAACAGGATGTAGCCAACGACACAGCGAACAGTAAGTAAACTCTAGAGATATGAAAATGCTCATAGCCTGAATGGGAAACTCAGACTTGTATCTTGAACTCGAGACTGCTTGGATATTAAGGGATATAGGCTGGAAAATCAGCAAGGGATGAAATTACGAGGGGATTTTATATCATATTAAGGAATTTGGACTTCATTCTTTGGACAGTAGAGAACTGTTGGAGATTTTAATCAGATTTTAAATGTAATGTAGCATGAATGATGTAGTCAGGTAAATAGTGAGGATTTGTAATTTACAGGTGAAAGAATATATAAGTAAGATCATCTGGTTATGAAGAGAATGAGAAGCAAGAGTCAAAGGACATTTGTCACAATGAAATCTCAGGATTTGGTAAACACTTATATTTCAGAAGTGACGTGTCCATACTGGGTTTCAATATTGTATGACATGTGAAAGGGAAGAAAATGATTCCAATTGGATTAAGATAAGTTTGAGATGCCTGTAGAGCTCAGGGAAGATGGTGGGAATAAAGATACAGTGACGAATCATTAACACTGTAGGGGATATGGGACTGCTGCCAGGAATCTACAGCGTCTTTTCTGAAAAACAGAGAATATGACTCTAGGACATCTAGTGACACACTCTAAATCAGTACAGCTTAAAGTTTTTTCTACATACAAAAAGTTCTGTTTAAGTTAATAAAATTCTTCTTTATTTTCTTTTGAAATGTAACATCATGATGTTACTAGTTAATGAAAAGAAAGCATTTCAATATCGGAATGGAATGTAAGTATGCCATTATTTTAAAGTAGATAACCTGTACTTTTATTTTTTTTTTTTATTTTTTTTTTTTTTTGACAGGCAGAGTGGACAGTGAGAGAGAGAGACAGAGAGAGAAAGGTCTTCCTTTGCCGTTGGATCACCCTCCAATGGCCGCCGCTGCAGCCGGCGCACCGCGCTGATCCGATGGCAGGAGCCAGGATCCAGGTGCTTTTCCTGGTCTCCCATGGGGTGCAGGGCCCAAGCACCTGGGCCATCCTCCACTGCACTCCCTGGCCATAGCAGAGAGCTGGCCTGGAAGAGGGGCAACCGGGACAGAATCCGGCGCCCCAACCGGGACTAGAACCCGGATAACCTGTACTTTTAAAGTTTTAAAAAGAGTTCCTCAAGATGATCAAGTGTCAAATTTAATAATTCTCCACTTACTATCTTGTTTTTACAGTATTTCTGCTACAAAACACTTCAAGTAAGTCAATTTTATATTTTTTTTCAAGATATTTGAGCGTTTAAGAAGGAGGTACCTTTCTCTAAAGGGAGGAGAGAACTTCCACTTTGACCATGGCCTTGTCTAAAAATTATCAGAGTCAGTGAACTCAGGGGGCTTCCATAGCCTTGGCAGCTCATGACAAGAGCCTAGGGTGATTACTGATGCCATAAACAAGAGTGTTAGTTGGTTAAGTCAACAACAGGAGTCACTGTGCACTTACTCCTCATGTAGGATCTCTGTCCTTAGTGTGCTGTACATTGAGATTTAATGCTATAACTAGTACTCAAACAGTATTTTTCACTTTATGTTTCTGTGTGGGAGCAAACTGTTGAAATCTTTACTTAATGTATGCTAAACTGATCTTCTGTATATAAAGAGAATCAAAAATGAATCTTGATGTGAATGGAAGGGGAGAGAGAGTGGGAAGGCTGCAGGTGGGAGGGACGTTATGGGGGGGAAGCCATTGTAATCCATATTCTGTACTTTGGAAATTTATATTCATTAAATAAAAGTTAAAAATAAAAAAAGATATTTGAGCGTTTAAGAAAAGGATTTGCAACAATTACTGAAAAGTAATTTATTTCTGATTCATCCAAAGATTTATAAGCAAACCAACAAAAGTCCTGTGCAAGAATATATGGTTAAGGTAAGTTGTTAACAAATATAGTTTCTTTTTAAAATACAACTGAGTTACATTATGTTGATGTTTGCTATGATGTTTGTGAAAAAGCAAGAGAGAGAATATGGATTTTTTAGGTGGGGCTACTAGCAAAAATTCAAAACTAAGTAACCATAAAAATAGATGCTGTTTCCATGGTAACAAAAGAGGAGCAATAAAAATCATAAAGGTTAGATGTGAGAATTTGTTCTTCTTTAATATGAGCAAGACAAATATTTAAACACGTCTCTTGTATTAGCTAACCTGGAAACACTGAATTATATCAAAGCAGAAATTATAACACTATCATGAGCTTTATGTGATTGTTTGATTTTAATAATATAATTAGATTTAAAATAACAGAAGTAGAAATTCATTCTTTTCAGCTCAGCAGTACCAAGGTAAAGTTTACATTTTTATCTTGCCCTTGGCATTAGACATTCAATGAACATTTTATTTTTTACCTTTAGAAATCAAAAAAGAAATAATTGAGAACAGAAATGGAAATAGTAAGCAAAGAGAATAAATAATGTTTAATGAATCAATATGTATTGGATATCTAGCACGTGCTATGCTTTCTGGTAATTTTATAAATTTTATTGCCTTTAGAGAAAAAATGAGGGAAATCTATTTTATAGATAGTCAATTATTAAATCCTCAAAATATTAGGTAACTTATCTATAAGTTCTCCAATTGATCTGGTCAGAGTGATGCTGCAAAATGATATTCTCAAGTTTAATTTTCTGCATTTTAATTTGCTTCACTATGAATTCTGTACTCACATATAGAAAAAAAGTGGGGTAAAAAGCATGAAATTTCTGTTGCAACCCAATCTTCCCACATTTTTCCTCTCCAGAGGCAATTCCAAATAGATTGCTATGTATTTTTAACAGATTATACACCACTTATATAAATAATCACACATTATAGGTGCTTGGTGTAGAAAATGGTTACATACACCACTGAAAGTAAGTTGAACCCTATATTTTTTTCAATTGTTTTAACTGAAATTTTAACAGTGTATTTCTGGGTATTGGAAAACTTGTAAGTGAATAATGTATTTTTTAATATTTATGAACTATAGTCATTTAGACAAATATTGCATATAAATATTTATCCTTTTTACCATTGACTATAGTACCTCTTTTTTCACCTGTATTAGCATCACAGTTATATCAATTATGTTTCTTTATTGAATTCTGTATGTTATCATGGTACAGATTAGTTGGTTTCCTCTCATAATCTTGAAAGAGGCTATGACGGACATCTCTAAACCTCTACCCCATATCTACTGCAGATGAACTGGGAAGAGCAACCGTGGAGAGTGGGAGGCTAAGTATTCAGGTTTTGTTTTTTGTTTTTTTTTTGTTTTTTGTTTTTTTTTGTTTTTTGTTTTTTTGTTTTTTTTTTTTGCCCTGGGCATTTTCTGGGCAGAGAGATGTAACAAGTCTCTCAAAAGCCTTTTGTTTTTCCCACTAAAATAACAAACATGGTTTTTCCAGTCCTTCCTATCCCACTTGAATGTGGACATGCCTTGAATGTGGACATGACGTATGAGTCTCAGTTGCCCACTTCTGACCGATTGATGATAAAAGTTAAGGCTTCCTTGTGATTCTGCCTGTGTTACTGCTTCTACCATGTTTTTCCACGTACATCTTTTCCATGCTGTAATTTATAAACTTGTTTAAATATTTTCTTGCTTGCCCTGAAACTTTAGAACACTAATTCAGATTTTAATTTTTAGGGGAGAAATTTAATCCTCTGTCTGAAATATGGTGAAAAAGTCAATAGTGTTCATTTTATTCTCACCGTAAATTCTAGAAATGATATATGTATTTCTGTTTGGACTCTTGAAACATTCCACCATATCACACACAACTGATCATGTACTGGACAGAATTACTTTTGCAATCTCAGTTCACTACAGCCCAGAAATTCTGTCACTAAACAACAAATTCACTGCTGTGGTTATTTCCAGTTTCTTAGACAACCTGTCTACAGATGATCATCTATCTTAAACTGTTGTATTGTTATGGTTTGCAACAGGTTCAAATCCTACCACTCAAAGTGTCCATGGCATCAGGATTATTCAAGTCCAAAGTCTCAAAACCACGGAGCTTTCACCTGGCTTATCTTGCACAACCACATTCCAATTCTTAAATACAGAACAAGATTTCTTGCGATGCACTGGTAAGTCTCTAATAATTAACTGCATTTATACACATAAAAAAGTTGTCCTAGATATTTAGTCAGTCATCAATGTACTTTAATTTTTTACTGAATTTCAAAAACTCATAGAAATCATGATATACATAATATAAAATATAATATAAAATACACTTAAACACCACTGGAAAAACATCACAATTCTTCATAGATTTTTTAAATACTATTCATTTCATAGCAGAAGAAAATGTAGTCATCACTCTATATGTAAAATGAGTCTAAAATTTGTCTATCTTCATTAACTGTAAGGCCAGTGATGTTTTTATTAAATTTACAGTACATTTGAGATTTGATTATTGTTTACAACTCTTGCCTCTACTGTTGAGGAACATTTTTTTTTTCTTATTAAAAATGGTTGAATTTTTTTACTTAGGGGAGTGCTAATCTTTTGACTATAAAATAAACTGAAAGTTTGTCATCATAAAAATTAAAAGAATAAAAATGGAAGGAGGAAGGAGGGCAGGAAAGTGTGTGGGAGAGAGGGTAGGGTGGGAAGTATCACTAGGATCCTAAAGCTGATTATATGAAATACATGGACTTTTCTCACCTTATAAAACTTTTAAAAATTTGTGAAAAGCCAAGTTGATTTTTTATTTGAATTCCCATTTTTCTAAACTAATGTTTTATTGGTATTAGCTTGTGCTTATTGTGATAGTTTGAACAAAAATATTTTTCCCCAATATATGAAACTGATAAAAGAGTTTACCTGATTTCCTCCCATACCATGACAGTTGAATATGCCCACTTTTTCATTTTCTTTGCGGCCCATGTTGTCTAGACATTGATTGGTTTCAACATTTCTTATCTAAATATACATAAAAAAGGATAAAACACAAGTTATATAATTATTTAAGTCACAAAAATCTTTATGATACTATGGAATTATGCAGGTTTGTTAGAACATTTCTCAAAGAAAAACCTGTGGTTATATATTTTTTTCTTTTTCTATATCCATTCTTGGACTTACATAAGATTCTAACTCCTACTACAGCAAACTGAACAGTGCTGGCATTGCCATTAGCTACTCATCAACAGGCATTTCTTGTTTGTAGCATAGTGTCAGAGAAGCAGAAAGCATCTTCATATTATGAATTAGAAATTCTTTACAAAAATCATCTAAAAACTGGGACAGTTCTCAAATTCCACAGCCCATTCTTTAACTTCTATGGTAATATAAGCGACTTAATAAAAATAAATTCATTAAGCATTCAAATTTATGTTTTTTAAAATTGCTTCATTAATAGGTGTTTTCATTCTGTGTATTAATAGAGACTAATTACATTGTTTATTTCTTTGACTAAAACACATTCATACATCTTCTTTCATATACAAATGTCAACCTTAATGGAAAGTACTTGACTCTAAGAAAAGCTATTACAAGGCTAAATGGTGATTTCACATTATAAATTCCTCAAAAAAAGTTTAAATTGCCAACTACAGACATAAAGTTCTTGGTTTACACTCAAACATTGCATTAGTCCCATCATTAACATAAAATTAATACATATCTGAGCCAAGCATAATTATAAAAGTCATTCAATGAGTTTAAAAATGCCCAAATTACTAACTTGAACAAAAAAATGAGTAGAAAAAAAGTAAAAGAACTCATCTAATACATGGCATGACTCAGATTTTCCCCTTAGTCTGAACTCTATCTATTTATACTTGTCCATTTAGCTCCTAAAAAGTTCATGTCTCTGGTCCACATTAGGACATTCACAGTTTACTATTCACTCAGCAAAATTACTTGGATACATCAAGTTATCTATGCTTTAGGTATACGTATCTTGACCTAGGCAAATGACTAACATTAGTAACTTATTATATAAATATATATTTATAGAGGGTGCATTAGGATAATACCTTGATGTAGTGAATAGCTCTATGCATGGTACACAATCTCATCGACTTATATATGTTAACTAATTTTAAATGATTTACATCAGATTCACCTTGTTAACTTTTATAAAAGGAAGACTTTTTGAAAATAATGCTTTTATCAATGATTTAGAATCCTAAAAATGTATAAAGTAATGTGATATAATAATCAGAAGATTAAATATCTCAAAATATGATTAATTTACATTTTCCATCAACATGAAACTCTCTGAGCTTTTAGTTTATGTTGACACATAATTATATATATTTGTGGGGTACAGTGTGATATTTCAATACTTGTATGTGTTGTGTGATGATCAATATTCATTAGCCTACATATTACTTCAAACATTTATATTTCTTTGTGGCGAGAACATTAAAAATCCTCCCTTGGGGCAAACATTTAACTCAGCAATTAATACGCTGGTGAAGTTGTTCATGTCCTATACTGGAGTGTCTGGGTCTCAACTCTGGCTCAGCTGCTAGTGCAGATACTGGGAGAAAGCACTGATAGCCCAGTGACTGGGTTCCTGTCACTCATGTGGCAGATCTAGACCTAGACTGAAATCCTGACTCCTGATTTCAGCCAATTCTGTCGTTGGCTGCTGGAGGCATTTGGAGAATGAAACAGTGGATAGCAGTTCTGTCTCTGTATATTTCTCTGCTTATCGACTTAATTAATTACTTTAAAATATTCTAGTTGTTTTGAAATATATAATACTTTTTTTTTTTTATCATACTGTGCAACAGTTAACCTACTGTGCATTAGAACACCAAAATTTGCTGGTCCTATCTAACTGTAACTTTGTATCCATTGACTCACCTCTCTCCATGTCCTTCACTCTGTTCCCCACCAAGTGGTAACTGTTATTTTTTTAAAAAAGATATATTTATATATTTGAAAGGCAGAGTTAGATACACACACACACACACACACACACACACAGAATTTTTCATCTTCTGGTGCATTTCCCAAATAGTTTCAATGGCTCGGGTTGGGTAAAGCCAAATCCAGGAGCCTGGGACTCCATCTGGGATGCCTACATGGGTGGCAGGGACCCAAGTACTTGGAGCATTGTCCACTGATTTCCTAGGCACATTAGCAGGAAGCTGGATCAGAAGTGGAGCAGCTAGGACTCAAACTGGTGCTCATATCGGACGCTTGCATTATGGTTTATGCTATAATGCCAACCCTGGGAACCTCTGTTCTACTCTTATCTTCTATGATGTTGACTTTTTAGATTCCACATATCAGTTACATTATGTATTTATTTTTCTGTGTTTAGCTCATTTCACCTAACATAATGTCCCTAGTTTCTTCCATGTTACTGAAAATGATAGGATTTCAACATTATGAGTGAATAGTACATATATTTTTATTCTTTTATCTGATGATGGACACTACATATGGCTTAAACATCAGAGTACAGATGTCTCTTTGAAAGACTACTTTCATTTTCTGTGGATATATACCAATATGTACCCAGTAGTATGATTGCTAGATCATGTGGTAGCTCTACTTTTAATTTTTAAAGGTTATTAAACAATTATAAGGACTTTGAAATTTATACTTATGCACATATTTCTTAAAAGCAAAAAAAATGAGAAAATGGAGATGGAAAAAAAATTTGAATAGGCCCACCTGTACTGAAGAAATTAAATTATTTTTTTCTTTTTTTTCCTATTTCTGCTTTGCTATTGAAAGTGATACTTTGATGGCCGGCGGCGCGGCTCACTAGGCTAATCCTCCGGCTTATGGCACCGGCACACCAGGTTCTAGTCCCGGTCGGGACGCCGGATTCTGTCCCAGTTGCCCCTCTTCCAGGCCAGCTCTCTGCTGTGGCCTGGGAGTGCAGTGGAGGATGGCCCAAGTGCTTGGGCCCTGCACCCCATGGGAGACCAGGAGAAGCACCTGGCTCCTGCCATCGGATCAGTGCGGTGCGACGGCCGCGGCGGCCATTGGAGGGTGAACCAACGGCAAAAGGAAGACCTTTCTCTCTCTCTCACTGTCCACTATGCCTGTCAAAAAAAAAAAGTGATACTTTGACTTGTTTCATGATGATGTTCATCATCCTTCTCCTATTAATGTAGGACTTGCTTAAGTATTTCCTTTAGGGTCAGTCTAGTGATGATGAATTCCTTCAGTTTTTGTTTACAATAGAAAGTCTTTAGATATCCTTCATTTCTAATATTTAGCTTACCTGGGTATAGTATTCTTGGCTGGCAAGTTTTTTCTTTCAGGATTTTGAATATTTCATCCCATTCTTTTCTTGACTCTAAAGTTTCAGCCAAGAATTCTGCTGTTAATCTTTTGGGCATCCATTTATATTTGATTTGACATTTCTGATGATTTAAGAATTATCTCTTTGTCTTGTAATTTCCATTTCATTTTAATATTTCTTCAAGAGATTTTTTTGGTTGAGTCTATTAGGGGTCTTTTGGGCTGTCTGGATATGAATGTCTTTATATTTCATAATATTTGGAAAATTTTCAGAAATAATTTCATGAACATGTTTTTCAATGACTTTTTCACTTCTCATATTATTATTGAATACATGTAATGTTAATTTTTTCTCCTTTAATGGTGTCCCACAAATCTCAAAGTCTTCCTTCATTGTTTCACATTTTTTCCTTTTCCTTTTTTTTGGCTGAGTTATTTCAAAAGAACCATTTTCAATCTCAGAAATTCATTCTGCTGTTCGCTAAATTCTATTTTTCAGGCCTCCAACTGTATTTTTATTTTCATATATGGAGCTATTGTCAACATTTCTGATTGGTTCATTTTTATGATCTCTGTCTCTTTGTTGAATTTCTCATTTATACAATGAATTGTCTTCCTAATTATATTGAATTATCTTTCTGTATTCTCTTGTATCCCAATGTTTCTATAAAATCACTATTTAGAGTTCTTTGTCAGCAATTCCTCAATTTCCATTTCTTGGTAGTCTGTAGCTCAAAAGTTATTCTGCTTCTTTGATGATGTCTTAATATCTTCTCCCCATTCTTGTCAGTTCTTTTGTTATGTATCTGGTGGGTCAACTGTTATATAAAGTTTATGGGATGATTATAGTAAAAAGGCTTCTGGTGATGTTTTGGTTAGATATACTGAAGCACTTTTGGTTCCTGGTGGGCACTTTAGTGTAGTATGCATGTAGAGTTTCATCAGTTGTAATTAACATTGATGATGTCTGCAGGTGTCTCAGAGCTGCACACATTGTGGGGCCACACTGACTGCCAGTTGGGATACAATTCCCTTGGTAGTACTTTGGGTGTGGTGCACAAGGCTGTAGGTATGAGGCTCCTGTCAGTGTCTGTGCATTGGATGAGTATGAAGCTATTTTTCTCGGTCTTGATAGATGTGGCACAGCATGCCCGGTTGCAGGTTGGTACGATCCAATTTATAAAGGAAGCATTGGTGCAAGGCAACACTGCTGTTCTCAGAAGAGGGAGCTGTCAGCATCCATGTGCTATACAGGCACTTCATGAGGCTATGGAGGCCAATTTGCTCAGGGAGGTCTTCCCAGGTCCTTACAGGGACAGGAATGGCTGTGTGGAAGTGTGCTGAGGGTCTGAGAACAGGTTACTCAATTGAGAGAGTTGCAGAAGTATGGGTGAGGCTACTCAGTTTCTTCTTGGGAGCCTGATGGGCCAAAGCTCTCAGGAATGCTGTTCAGCTACTTTTGTGGGTTGAAAGCAGGTGTGGAGCTGTTTGCCAGCTTTCCTGGATCTCTGGGGGCTAAGCTGCTAAGGTATGTTTGGTTATTTTCTGGGGCCAAGGGTGCTTGGGTGGGGACATCTGACTACTTCAAGGGTAGCAGGAGGTTGTATAATGCTGCCTAACTGTTTTCCTAAGTCCTTTACAGGACTAGCCATCTATGGTGGGCTGCTCAAGTTCTTTCTAGGACTGAGGGAGGGAGGGTATGACCT